AAAAAAAAAAAAAAACCTAAGCACAGATATGTAAACCAGGAAAGGAACCTCAAAGAAGATGTAGCCTCCCTGAAAAAACTATCTTAGAAAGCAGATAACAATGGATGAGGAAAAGGCTGGGGTACTYAACAACTTTTTCTCCTCAGTCTTTAATATCACCCTTTCTTCCCACACCTCTCAAGGGGATGGACAGCAGTATGGGGACTGGGGAAGCAGAGGGCTTTAAGATAAGATCAAGTTTGTGACCACCTGGAGAATCTGAATATCTGTAAGTCTATGGGACCTGGTGAGATACATCCCAGAGTCCGGAAAGAATTGACTGATATAGTCAGTCAATACAGCTAAGCCACATTCTATGGTATTTGAAAAGTTATGGAAGTCAGATGAAGTCCCAGGTGCCRGGGAAAAGGGAAATATTGTACCAATCTTAAAAATGCTAGAAAGGAAGACCGTGGAAACTATCAACCTGCCAGTCTCACCTCTGTGCCTGGAAGATCATGGAACAGATCCTCTTAGAAGCAGTGCCAGGGCACATGGAGAGCAGGGAGGTGATTCAAGAGACCCARCACATCCATTTTCCCAGCAACCATCATGGCATTCATTTGCCAAATACCAGGTTCCCCAGAAGATAGACTTACCTAAAAGCCTTCAAAACAGCACCTATATTAAAGGTACAAGCATTAATACAGCCATTCCTGTCTGCTAGGACAACTATTTGSACTCCTAAAATACTTGCAAAAAAATTTCCTTTATCTGCATTTGGGAAGCATAATTTCTTGCTGAAATCAATTAAATGGAAGAGTCCTAGCAGGGAGTTAAATCGTCAGGCAYGTGCACTGTTAAAATATCTGGGTACTGGGAAACAAAAATACGACAGGGCAGCCCTTTTTACCTGTTTCTACAGAGCCCACTCCCACAGTTCTCCCTCCCACCACTACTAAACCCATTCCACATAGCCAGTGCATCACCTTTCTCAACAAGGCAACAGACAGTACTAGAAACTGGCCTGCCTAGGTACAGCACAAGCCAGCGAGCAGACACATCACACACACAGGGGACAGCAAAAATTCAAAGCTTCCCCAGAGCACAAAGCATTTCCTTTTGCAGGTACGTTCTAAGTATCTGCTTGGCCTAACAAGCAGCAGCAGCAGCTGGTGAGACCTCAGAATAGTTCCTGGGGAGATGCCACATTTGCATCACTTTACCTCTTATTTACACTTAGATTTCATGCACAGAAATAGAAATTACTATACAAAAAAGCAATTCAAGTGAACAAAGCAAAGTAATGAAATTGACAGCTTTTAGCTGATATCTCTGATATCAGCATAACCACAGAAGTGTTGCTGCACTGTAGCTAACCCCCACAGCAAACTCAACACCATACACAGTAAAGAGTAGCAGACAGGTGCTGCCCTGCATGGACAAGGTATATTTCAACTAAAAAAAAGGCTCAGAAATCATGGCTAATTATCCACATAGAGATCAAGCCAGCATTAAATTTCAGCTAGCTCTGACCCTTCTGCTACCCATAATTTTGTTAGAAGATGGTATAGGGCAGAGCAAGATACCAAACTAGCCTGTTGAGCTATAATCATAGTCCAGGGTTGAAGCAGTGGTGATAATAAGGTGGTAATAAAGGTGATCAAAAAGGCTTGCTCACCGCAGCTCYCAGGCAAAGGACTGTGTGACTCACCAACTCTTATCCCAGCCCACCCATATGGTGAAAAATACATTCCACCACAAGCTATCAAAGTGCTACAAATGTGATTAACAACCAAATTAGAAATATTCGAGCCATTGTACTTAACTTAAATTTCAGGAAAATAGCGGTCAAATTAAGGACAGTAAGTATCACATCCTAAGGAAATCATTAACTGTTAGCTGAACCATGTGCTATTTTTGTTATTTAAAATACTGATYAAGCTAATTAGGCTCAGAGGGAATTGAGTCTAGAGGATTAAATGAAATATTTTCAAAGGCAGAGTTTGGTTTGCTGTCATCCATTTAAACAGTAGAAGGTATGATTTTGAACACATTATGATGATGAACGCTTTTAAAACATTATCCTATCATGTCTGTTATTTGGCTAATAATGCACCTTATACTTTCCTTTTGACCTTAGTGACACGTTAGTGTTAGAAAGTGTACAGCTATGCCAAAAGATAATACCATTTACCTACTTCCTCTTTATAATTATTACCTTAAAATCTCGGGAGTTTGAGTCTGCTTGTCATTCTTTGCTCTCAAAGCCAAGATTATGACTTCTGAGTAAAGCGTAACTATAGAACTAGGCAGACACAGTTTTCAAAAAGGCAATATTTATTAACTCATACTATACAAGATAAAAATGCAGTTTATGCATAAAGGTTTGATGCTCCCCCCACCTTCAAATACAGACAGAACAAGCAATTTCTGATTAAACTTAGGATCATCCCACTGTGAGACAAAAATAATTTCAGGTGTTAATACTAAATTCCTGTCAAAGGCTAGAAACTGTACAGCTAAAAGTTTACTCTACATAAAGATGATTAATGAGCTTCTATCTTCCTGTTGGTCTCCATGGTTAGAATCTTGCTGGGATCCTACAGGGCCATCTTGCCAGGCGAGTGACATCTTCCCAGGGATAGCCACAGCGCGCAGCAGTGACAGCAGTCCCCAGCCAGAAGGAATGCACTCCGTACTGCTCCGGACACAGCCCCAGCAGGCGCAGGGCACATCGGAGAACGGCCAGGAACTCCCTCTTCGTTACAGTCCTGTCATCCGAGTGCACAAAGAGTGGCCCCTCCAGCTGCGAGCGCACTGTCAAGTAGCTCCGGAGGGCCAGAACAGGGCACACCCATGGCTCTCCAGACAGCGCTAGGCTGATGACATGTCTCTCCTGATCCACAGGAGAATTWGGCAGAACAAACAGCACTTTCCTCTGCATCAGCTGGAGATCGCTCAGGTACAGCAGCTCAGGCTGCAGTACATTACGGTGCTTTGCCACCAACTCTCCGATTCGAAGTGCCCCAAAAAAGGCTACGGTAAAYAATGCACGAAACAGTAAGCATTCATAATGAGTAATGCACACCGACTCCAGAGCTCCTAAGAGAGATCGCAACATCTCAATTGTTACAGGCAAGTATTTATCCCTTAGGATACCTGCTCGACGTTTCAACCCTGCCACCATGCAACAGGTTACAGTATCTTCCAGAGGATCAGAGTTACCAGTCAATTTTGATAAATAAGAGAGTGCTGCCATGTATGTGAGTGTCTTCAAGGAGGAATAATTAGATTCAGCAGCCAAAAACCCTCTAATTTGGTCCACTGGAATTGGCCAGGCCGCAGGCATTCCCATGCTTTCCCTGAAGACAAGGAATTTCTTCAGTCCTTCGAGGTAGGCTTGCCAAAGCCTGCTATCCCCTGAGCGCTCGAGCAACGACAGAGTCTTCAGGGGCCAAGGTCCCAAGGAATGCTTCTGAGGATAACTGATCTCGTTTCCTACAAGAGAAGATCCACATCAGCACATGGTGACAAAAAACATAAGCATGCTACTTAAGCAAGAATAAAGACAGCACTCCTTGAGGGCAGTACACCTCCAGACAGTGCTAGAGTTTGTCTGACAGAGAACTCACACACAGCTGCACCARACATATTTCTCAAATGAAAAACAAGCAACATATCAAGCCCATTCCAGGCACTGGATATGCTAACACTCCGTGAATTTACAMGGTTTTGGAGTAGTAACGGAGAAGGCAAATAAATAGCAATTTTAAACCAAGGGACAGCTTACAGAAGTTAAAACAAAGGTCACACAGCACACTCCCGCCGACAGGTAACATTTCCCAGCCCCGGAGGGAGGGGTCCCTCGAGACACCCCTCCGAACCCCCCAGCCTCACACAAGAACTCGAGCAAAAGCAAGGAGCCGCCAGGAGCGGCTGACCCTCGGCAGCGGCCCGGCCCCRGCCCGCACTCACCGCTCCCCGCCGCTCCATTCCCTCCGCTCCGCGGTGCTGCTCGGCTGCCCGGCGGGGAGCTGACCGCCTGCCCAGCCAGGCTCAGCTCCAGCCACTCCATGCCCGGCTCCCGGGCCAGCAGTGCCAGCATCTCCCAGAAGARCGCGGCCCCAGGCGTGGCCGGAGCGCGGGCAGCGCAGGCCATGTCAGGAGCACGAACAGCGGCCTCTCCGTACCAAGAGTGCCAGAAATGAGCCCCACGGGCCCTTTTATCCTCGCAACAGCCCGGGAGGTCCCGGGCGCTGCCCTGGGCGACGGGGGAAGAGGGTGAGAAYTGGAAGGTGTGAAACGCCCAGTCATTACGTCTTCTGGAATGTGACCGGATTTAGTGATAAGGTCACAAAGGAGAGATAAGTACTTGTGTCCCGGTTATTCTCCTGGGCTCTGCAAGTCGTGGTTTCCAGGTTTGCTGTAGAGAACAGCTCAGGGCAGCTGGCTCCATTCCGAATTACTCATTAGCCCTCGTTCTGCTGCTAACAATGCACGTAGGTGCTGAGATGTTTTTGCACAGTTTGACGAGACACTTGCCTTTCCACAGTAGCTATCCCTGAAAAAATCCTAAGAGAAAAAGAAAGCAGGCTCCTCAGCCGACAACTTGAGCTTTTGGTCTCCCTTCGAAGAAAGTTGTACAGGGAACCCGACAACCGCCTTCCCTGGGAGCTTCCCCTCCAACAAGATTTAACCATTACTCCTGGCCGTCATCGAGAGTACCCTGTTTGTACCTCCCCCTGCTGCCGTCCCTGTCGTTTAAGTAATAAAATGGCACAGGTATGTGGGAAAGGAGAAGAATGGGGCCAGGGCCAAGTCGTCTGCGGACTCAGCCTTTGCTGCTTCCTCAATCCCCCGCGGCGGCACCCTGGAGGCGATAACGGGCCGCTTAGGAATTCCCAGGTATTGGAAGCCCCACCTTCCCGGTAACTCCCACGCAGACCATGGGCAGAGGGCGGAGGAGGCAGGATGGGGGGGACCCCCGCATTGCCCATCAGGCACAGGCTCTGGTTGGATCGCAAAAGGACACGTAAGGGGGCGTTCCAATWGGGATAGGAGGGCCAGGGTATAAAAGGGCAGCACGGTGGCATTCTCGGGGAGTTGTGTGTTTCTCCTTGTGTGGTTACTGTTCTGTTGGTGATGCTGAAAAGGGTAGAGCTGCCTGCTGTCCGTTCACCCTTCCGGGCACTGCTGGCCCTGCTGCGGCAGGAGCCTGGTATGGCGTGGCTGCCGTGTGCCCTGGATGGCTGCCCCGGATCATGGGGCACCAGTGAACTGGAGGCTGGCGGTGGGGAAGGTGAGTGTGCCCTTGGAGGGGCAGGAAGTGGCGGGGGGACTGAGTGGTGGGGGAGGTGGATAGAGGCTTGCCAAGTTCTTCCATGGGGTCTGGCCACACTGCTGGGACTCCTGGGACTCCTGGGACTCCTCTGTGCACTCCACTTGAGCCCACTGATGGAGGTCAGAGGCCACAGAAACCTTGCAATAGGGTGTCAGAGCTATCACCAGGCTTGAGATGTTGCCTTACAGAGATAAGTAGCTGGGGGTTTATGGATTTTGAGAATGTAATCCTTCTCCTGTGCTCTGGCTGTAGGAAACTGTGAAGATGAGAGTCATAAGAATACATGGGATAGGCTTTTTTTTTGGAAAAGTTCAAGCAAAGGCTGAAGTGTGTTGAAAGGGAGGAAAGTTCTGTCTGTTTATGTTTGCTATGGCTAATTTGGTTTTCTTTCAGCAGATAAGATCAATCAGGTTCCTGAGAAGCATCCCTTGGGCCCTTGGCCCCTGAAGACTCTGCTGTTACTGGAGGACTCAGGAGACAGCCATTTATGGCAGGATTACCATGAAGGCTTAAAAARCTTTCTTTCATTTAGAGAAGGCATGGCTATGCCTGCAGTCTGGCCAATTCCAGTCGAACAAATAAGACAGTTTCTGGTCACCATGGAGTCCCAGGATCTGCCTCCCACAAAAATAATAATGTATATAGAAGGACTGTCTTTCATCTCCAGAATGGTAGATCATCCTGATCCTCTTCCAGATCCTGTTATCCATTCCAAGATGTTAAAGTTGAAACGTAGGGTTCGCTATTCAAATGATGAATACTCTCTTGTAACAGTTGAAGTGTTAAGATCTCTCCTGGGAACTCTGGAGTCTGTGTGTAGCTCTCCTTATGAATGTTTGTTGTTCCGTGCCATTTTTACTGTAGCTTTTTTTGGTGTACTCCATATAGAAGAGATGGTAGCAGATCACCGAAATACAGCACAGCCAGAGCTCCTGCACTTGAGTGACCTCCAGCTGACAGAAGGGAGTGCAATCCTTTTTTTGCATGCATCTCATATGGGCCACCAGAGGTATTTGGTCCAGCTGAGATTATGTAATGAGTTGTGGGTATGTCCTGTTGAAGCTCTCCGCATCTACGCTGCAGTACGGCCACGRGGAGAGGGCCCTCTCTTCGTGCACTCAAACAGTATGGCTGTGACAAAGAGGGAGTTCCTCACCATCTTCCGCCGTGGCCTTGCGTTTGCTGGGCTTCCTCCAAACCAGTATGATGAGCACTCCTTCTCGCTGGGGAACCATAACAGCACTATCTCATGGGTATTYCCATGAAGTGATTCATAGAATAGCAAGGTGGTGGTGAGATTGCTAAAAAGACATACTTCTGACTGACTGTTGCACTTCCACAGTACAGAGTATATTCTGCACTGCACAAATTTTATACTGTATATTGACTAAATTCTCAATGCTCTGTAAAGTTAGAGGGAAGGAGAGGAACAAGCGGAAGGTGGTTTTTCACACCTGTGGTGGTTTTGAGAATGAAGTGTCATGGTGTTAAAACTGCTGGGACTTGTGGGGCAGTGCACATTCTATTCAGCATGTTTGTTCTAATTGTATTTTGACCTTGTGTAATCTTACAATTTTACATTAAACAGTGTTTTCTTTCAAAAACTTTAGATTGGTGGTTTTAGTTTTGGTTTTGGTTGGTTGTTTGGGGGGGGTGGGTTTTTTGGGTTTTTTTTATGCCCTGGTCAAAGGCCATTCATTCCAGTGGTGATATGTAACTTGATACAAGCATGCACTCTTTTTACTGGCTAGTGTGATAAAAAGTAGAGCTGACTGACAGCTGGTGACAATGTGACACCAGCAGTGAACTTGGTCTGTTCCATAGCCCCAAACAACCTCACCTGTTGCTGCTRCAGTCTCAGTCTCCTTACCCATGGAAGCCTTTCCCTTGATCCAATTCTTTGGATCCTTCACTGATACCTCTTGAAAGGATGTATCAAACCTGGCTACTGACCAAAATTAGCCTTTAACTGAAGCGTGGTCACACATCAAGGTTGGCCCTGCTCAGTTCATGGCAGAGGACATGATGAGGTAGCTAACACAAATAACCCCCACTCTGTAATTGATGCATTTGTGAGATTTTTAACACAGATTAAATGACTAGTGTCTGAGAAGCATGACCATAACAAAGTTGAGTGTTACCTTTCACACATAAGGGTGTTTGAAGTAACGGCATCCTGTGTAGTGCTTTGCATCAGTGTGTTCAGGAGCTACCTAGGCAACAACTAGGTATTCAGAAAACAGCCAGCATGGTACCACACTCCTCAGTCCTCCATCTAGTTTCCAAGAAGATCTTTAGTTAGAGGAAGTTCACACAGCAGGAACAGAGCTGTGATAATAGACAACAATCTGTTAATTCCCTGGCATACATTTGGTCATTCCCCTTCTAGAGCTTTACTACAAGCTGTTGCAGAATTAGCAGCCGGTGATGCTGACACTGAGTCCCAGTCATCTTGCTCATATTCATGCATGTGAATCTGGATCCACCAGCATGGTCATGGGGGAGCCTTGATCAGGTTCCAGTACACATTGATGCCGTAACTGGGGACTGGCAGCCTTTTATCCACAGAAGTTACTATGGCAATTGAATCGCCTGTCTCCAGGGAACTCAACCCCACAGCCCTATACATGGCTCTTTGGGTGAGGGACCAGGAAGCTTTTACTTCCTGTGGTTAAGAAAACCCTAGGTCCTCAAACCCTCAGCTTCTGTTTTTGTTAGCATCAATCACGCAACACATGTAAGGGAGACTCTCCATATAGATTTAGCTTCAGACTCTTTCTGAGTGCAACCGTATTCTTTTTGTAATTCAGCCAATTCAGTAAAAGGCATTTCTTTAGTAATTATGTGAGTGGAAGCATTATAAATTCCTTTATGTTGATATTCTGCTTCARTTAACAACCAAATTTTTTTCATATCCAGTTGGCACAGTGAGATGCTTTGAATTTAAACCAGTGTACTGAATATCACCTCCTGACCTGTTGCTATAAGGCTGGAAGTTTCATTTGAGGCTTTTCTTTGTACAGCCCAAGTGAACACAGCCTTTTAGGCAGGTGTTTCCGGCAGAGATAGAAAACAGGTCCCTGTGGTTAAGCCACATGGTATAGTTGCATTTATTCACCAATCGGCACCAAACACAAGAAACTCCCCCACCTTATCTGAGCCCCCRTGAAAAAGCTCCAAAACCAGGAGAGTATTTTAACACTTACCACTGTGCTTAACATCACCCAAAGAAGGTAGCCAAATAAAACCCCAACCCACAATTAATTTATTTAGTTTTCTATTACAGTGGCTGCAAAAGCTGGGCTAAGACAGTGGTGCATTGAGTGCTGCCAGCAGCTCTCATAACCAGAAAAAGCTTCCCAACCTTCCCTGGCCCCTCATTCCCCCCATTGCTGGGCTTGTTCATCCTAACGTGAGTGGAAGTGTAGCTACCTGTCTCCTTTCAGTCAGGGAGACTGAGGAAAGACGAAGACATCTGAAGACTCCTGGAGGAAAATTAAGCCACCAAATTAAGTTGAAAAATCTGGTGATGGAACACATGGTAATACTCCCMCAGGTAGAACACAGCCAAGCCCAGAGAGAGCGAGAAAACAGAAAAGTTTCCTGGGCCAAAGATTCAGAAGCATGCCTACTACTACACCTCTAACCACACAGCAAGCACCAATGSAAGTTCAGATTTTTTCTTTTTTCAGAAAATTCTCCCACCTTGTCCTGCAGAAGCCAGCGATAATATTTTTTATTGTTCTCTTTGTGTCTGCAAACTCTGAAGAAGGGATTTGGGTGCCCACCAATTTTAATCAGGGTATTGGCACCTGAATTGAAGATACCACTTCAAACACTGAAACTCCTGTTTCTGCCAGTAGTTTCTTCCCTTTGCAGTTCTCCAGGGCTGACCCTGTGTGCTGCCTTTGAGTCAGACTGAAACAGGCAAGACCACAGGGAAGCCTGCAGGCACGCAATTTGTGACCATAATGTTTCAGAAACACTTGATTTTCCTACTACATGTGTACAGAAGCTTTGTTTTGACATTGCATCTTCCTCACATCTCTCCTCACCCACCATCCAGGAACAGGGTGCTCCTCTGGYTAAAAGCATGGGCACATAAATAAATTTAATTGACAGTGTGACTTTACAGCATGTCATTTATTCCATGGTAACTACCCATGCATACACACTCCTACTCAGCAAAACATATGGCAAAAAGGTGTAAATGACTTCACACTTCATCAAAGAGCAAGAGCATTCACCCAGGGGTTTGTAACCAAGCAGTTTACTCCATAGTAAGCTCTGCCTTCTACTGGTCTAATCCAGTTTATGTGCCCTTTGAGGCAATTAGTCCC